CTTCTCTCCTGTCCTTAGCCTGTGTATCTGACAAGGGCATGGCTACATGAAACTGTGCCTGGTCATATGGATTTCACACACCAAGAAGGAACAGAAGCCTAAGTAGGGTGCCACCTTTATTTTGCCATATCAGCACATTAAAAACAAAACCCTCATTACTCATCATGGAATAGCAGGAAAACACAGTCCCACCATATAAACTATGAAGGACCTTCTCTATAAATAAGACTAGGCTTTTTTTTTTTTCAGACATTTAACCTTAAGGAAGCTCACTCTGCTGTTCTTACTTTTCTCGTTTCACCTGAGTGCATCAGCCTTGTGTTACTGCTATAACAGATGACTACCTCTTGGTGTTTAAAGCACACTCGTGTATTGTCTTAGTTTCCTGCCAGAAGTCTGGGCACAGCATAGTTCTATGGAGTCCTCTGATTGGGGCTTCCCAAGGCCAAAACCAAGATGTCAAGCTGGGCTGTGTTCTTACCCAGAAGCTTGATTAGGGAAGATTTGCTTCCATGCTCATTCAGGTTACTGGCAGAATTCAGTTCCTTGGACTTGTAGGACTGAGTCCTGGTTTCCTTGGCACATGATGATGACAATGGTATGTCAAACCCATGCCATGACTCAAATTTCTAACTTCCCTCTGCAGCCAGCCAACGACTGCTGCTTTTAAGGGCTTCTGTGACTACATTGGGTCCACCTGGATACCAATTTGAGGTCAGCTGATTAGTAACCTCAATCACATCTGCAAAATCCGTTTTGCCATGGAACATAACATTCCTGGGAGTAACTGTAGGCAGCAAAGGTGGGGTCACCCGGTCTGTGAAAACCAGGTCAAGTAAACACTCAGGAATACTGGAAGTCTCTTCCAGCACCAATACTGGTTGTCACACACCCTCAGATTTATGAGTTGACATAGCCAAGAGTTATGTGTTTGTAAGAAGCCAGGACTAATACAGAATCTTGGCTAGACTAGGTATTTAGGACATGCTTGCTGAGCAAACAAACATTAGTAAGTTCTTAATACTTTAATACAACTTTGATTATAAATCTTCTGGTGTTGTATTACGATTGTCATTAGATTAGCTAACAAGCCAAAGTCATTACAGATATGTATAAAACTAGATATGATCCAGTAAATCATGGCAGAAACAATTAAGATACAAACTGCTCTATTTCTTCGCTTGTGCTCCATGGAGGGAGAAGCATCGAGAACAGTGTTTCTTCCTTCTTTTCTTTCTTTTTGTCCTTTTCTCTTTCTCTCTTGGCTCCTCAAAAAGAAAAATAATAATAATAACCTGGCCAATTTTAAAATTAATTAAAATGTAAGAGTTGGATTATTTCCCAGTTATCTGTAGAGTATAATCCAAACTCCCTGGCCTGATGTTAAGAACCGTCCTCACCCTTCCCTGGCCACTTGTCCTCTTGAGGCAGCTGCAGGGGCAGGGCCATTTCTGTGTTCGGCTCCCTTGCCTGCTTCCTTCACCTCCCTTATTGAGTCTTCCCTTCCCACAGCCCTTGCTGGCTCTCCCTTCTGCGTCCCCAGCACTGTCCACTCTGGGAGGTGGCCCCCTGTGCCCCATGTCGCACCCTCCAAGGACAGGTTCCTCTCTGAGGTCACCAATTATGGCAGACTCACTCCTCTATCCTGGCCAACACTGGGGCCATCTGTGGGAGGGTCAAACACTAACAATTATCAGCCTACTTTGTCAGTTAAGGGGAAGAGTAGGGAACAAACAGCAAAAAGGGTGAGAATGGCAGGAATGCAAAAATAAAGAGAAAGACCTGGAAGTGGAAAGAAAAGGAAGAAAGATGAGGAGAGAATTGGAGGCTTCTCATCATTTGTCAGGTGCTTCTGAATTCTGGGTGGAGCCTTCGTCTCAGCTCTAGGGAGATGGCACTGAAAAAAAATGGCAGTCTGTGTCCTTCCTGGGCCCACATTCCAGTGAAGGAAATCAGTTCAATATCCAGCCAAACAAGCAAAAATAAAGGGTGATGTGTTAGAAACTAACAGGATGGGCACCATTCCGCATGGGGAGGCTGGAATGGTGAGAAGGAGTGTGTGGCTGAGAACTGAGAAACACTGTAGGTGCAAAGGCCCAGGGGCAGGAAGAAAATCACTTTTGATTCCAGGAAACAGAAAGGAGGCTGGTGAGACCTTACTTGGTGAGCAAGATGGAGGGCAGAGTAGGAAGCAGGGGCTGGACCGTGTGGTCCATGATGGTGAGGAGTGTTGAGAAAGTTATCCCAAGCTTGTAAATAACACAAAGATGTGATCACGTGACCATTTACCTGAGTTCTACAAGCGTTTTCTCACTGCCGTGTCTGATGGGGATGGAACTGTGCTCAGTGATTAACGCCCCACAACTACAGTTCTCTACAACTGATAAGATTTCCTAGTTCCAAACAATTTCCTTTTCTGCCCTTAAAAGTTATAGTTTTATTTATTTAGTTAGTTATTTAGCGGTGCTGGGGTTTGAACTCAGGGCCTCAGGTTTGCTAGGCAGGCGCTCTACCCTTAGCCACGCTGCCAGCCGAAGGTTATAGCTTTTTGTCCTGTAGGACACTGAGTTGGTTTGTGTCTAATTTAGCTACCTTATTTTTTTTTTTATTTCTGTAAAGATGCCTATTTCTCAAGTTCTCTTTGGGATCCACTTAATCATCTTTCTGACCCCCTTTTAATGAGTTAAATAAAGTGTTGACAGGTACCCAGCACGAAGAATTATGTTTTCATGAGAATCATGTTTTTCACCTTTTGAGAATTACATTGTAATAGGAATTTGCAAGTGCTCAGAAAGCAGGAGAGCGAGAGCTCGCTCATGTTCCATGAAGGACTCTCAGACTGCTGGGTGCCAGGTGGGCTTTGCTGAGTCCCCGGAAAGCCATATACAGCTAGGGGCACAGTGAGGGAGCCAGTACCGACTCCCCGTACTCACCACCCTTTGTCCCTTTCCTTCCACACTGGATTGTGGACCCCTTCCTGTTTCCACTGCAGTCTGGCAGCTCCTGGGCAGGGCAGGCCCTCAGTCACCAGTCCCAGGCTGAGCATACAGTGGGCCTTCCTTTTAGAGTCTCTGGTGACTCCTTTTCTAGCTTTTACTATTGTGGTGAAATGGACATCCCACAAAATTTAAAAATTTTATTTATTTTAAGTATCCACTTCAGTAGCGTTTTAAGTGCATTCAGACTGTTGGGCAGTATCACCACCCTCAATTTCCACCATACCACCTCAAACCTTAAACCTATTAAATACCAGTCCTCATCACCTCCTTCCCCAGCCCTTGGCAACCACCACTCTCTTTTCTGTCTCTATGAATTTGAGTACTGTACTCATGGAATTTACTGTACTCAGTGGAATTTACGATATTTGTCTTTTTGTGTGACTCATTTCATTTGGCTTACTGTCTTCAAGTTTCATCCATGTCATAGCAAATGTCAAAATTTCTTTCCTTTTTAAGGGCTGAATAATATTCCAGTGTGTGTATATCACAATTTGTCCTTTGTTCTGTGAATGGATATTTAGGACGTTTATGTTTTTTGCCTATTGTGAATGATACTGCTGTGAATTGGTATCCAAGTATCTCTTCGAGTCCCTGCTCTGAGTTCTTTTGGAAATCCATCTAGAAATAGAATTGCGGGATCATATGGCAATTTTATATTTGACTGCTTTTTTTAAGGGGTGCTTGGGCTTGAACTCAGGGCCTTGTGCTTGCCAGCTAGGCACTCTACCACTTAGCCATGCCCCCAGCCCTGTCTGCTTTAGTTTGCTTTCAAATTGGGTCTCATATTTACATCCAGGCTGGCCTGGATCACTGTCTACCTACTTACACTGCCCATGTAGCAGGGATACAGGCACACACCACTATGCCCAGCTTTTTATTTGTTGAGATGGGGTCTTGCCAACTTTTTGTCCAGGCTGGCCTTGAACTACTACCGTCCTAGCTGGCATTACAGATATGTGTCACCACGTCGGCACGTTTGACTTTTTGAGGGTGGGTATACTGATACCCTCAGCTGAACCGTCTCATATTTCTACTAATAGCACACAAAGGTTCCCAGTTTCTCCACATTCTCACCCACACTTGTTATTGTGTGCTTGTTTCTATAACAGCCATCCCAAAGGTGTGGATTCATTTTCTCATAAAATAAAAGTGGTCATGGAAGGGAGAGACCCCAGGGTGAGGCACTTGGGAGGGACTTTCCTCATTGTGCTCAGAAGGGAGGTAGCTGAGGGGCTTAAGGATAGTCCTGGGTTTGGAAGGTACTTGGGGGAGGAGGGCCATGATCGGGGCTTGGGAGGTTTAAGACTACATGACTGAGCTCGTGGTGTGGAGCTGGTGAGAGAGACACTACCCCAGGAGAACTGAAGCTCAAGGGTTTCCCGTGAGGGCAAGTTGGCTTGTGTTATGTTGTTACCAGTGGGTGGTCTCAGAAGACCCTGGTCAAGAAGATCTCAGGTCCTTGGGGTCCAGAACAAAGAACTGGTGAGACACACAGATTGCACAGTAGCAGCAAAGTTTTTTGAAGGTGAAAGCAGGAAAGCACACCCCCTGAGGAAGGGAGGAGTAGGCTCTGAGCAAGTTGGATTAAAAGCATGGTGCCTTGGTTCGGATGGGTGTTTATATGCCGCAAGGGGACAGTGGGGTGGGGAGGCAGCTGGGTGGTACTCAGGAGTGGCTTTCGATGATTGACAGATGGATTGGCTGTGCACATGAATTCAGTGAGGTGTAGTCTGTATTCATCAGGCTATACTTAGGGCTGTGTGCATATTACCCTGTTTGGGTACAGATGAAAATGCTATTTCAAAGGCAACGTTTGGGATTGCTTCTGGATGGAACTAGACCACCTGTTTCCTGCTAGACGGTCTGCAAGGAGGTCACCTGTTACCCATGACCTGGTTTGGGTACTTTTCCTGAATTTCCTGCCTCAACATCATTGTTAGGCTCTTGACCCCAGAAAAGGCAATTTCTAATGTGGGCCTGTCTGTGTTGCTTCCTTCGCAGTGTGACAACGCAAAAGGGTTGAAAGCCTTCTATGATGCAATAAAATATGGGCCGAACCATCTGATGGTGTTTGGAGGTGTCTGCCCGTCCGTCACTTCCATCATCGCCGAGTCCCTCCAAGGCTGGAATCTGGTGCAGGTGAGAGCCAAGCTGCCTTCCGTTGAGGGAGCGTCTTTGTAGCCAGCAGCATTTTGCAGAAGTGCTTCCTTGCGTGTGATTGTGTGGGTTTCTGAGTCAGGCCTTCTGGACTCAGTCCTCTGGATGATTGTACTGCCTTTCCTTGCCTGCATCTCTGGCTTGACGTTGTGTGTCCCACACAGAGGGTTCTTAAAGGGAAGTCCTGATACGTTTGAACACCCAGTGCTTACCACTGACTCTCTAGCCCAACTCTTAGGGGCATGAACTCCCAACTGACCTGCCTGTGTGAGGTGACCCCTTCTCCTGCCACCATTCCACAGCACAGCCATCCAGACAGCGCCTGCCCCACACAAACCCCAGGGCTTTTGGGACTCAGAGCCTTCACCAGATGCTCCTCTATCTCCTCCCCGCCCAGCCTTCCTCTGCCACTGAAATCTTTTTTGCCTACTGAGTCTGCATTTCCCCTTAGTTTACGCCTTCCCTGGGGCTCCTGGTACAGGGAATGAGGGCTACACTAGTGTGTAGTTGGACCCAGGTAAAATTCATAAGTGTTAGCTGTTATTTGGAATTTGAGAGGATGTAACGAGAGAGATATGGCCACCAAGGGTAAGTGGTGGTCCACATGTGTGTTTACTTTTTCACTCCATCCACCCTGCTTTCCCTCCTCCCTCCCATCCTCCCTGCCTCCCTCCCTCCCTCCCAAACATCCAACCACCCAACCATCCAACCATCCAACCGTCCAACCATCCAACCATCCAGCCATCCAACCAACCTACAAATCTTTGATAGACACTGGAGCAGAATGCTGAACAAGACATACATGGTCTGCATCATTTCAGAGCTTACCTTCTAGGACAACAGGCAATAAGCAAGTGAATAATTAAGTAACAATACTGGTGACAGCTAATGGCTGTGTGTGTTGTACCTACCATGTACCAGACACTGTCCTGAGCACTTATGTACATTAACTCATTTAATCCTTATAACTGCTCCATTACTATCCCTATTTTACAGATGAGGAAATGGAGGCACAGAGAGGCCCAAAGACTCAAAGCTAATAGTAATAGGACCAGGATTTAAACTCAGCTAGTCTGGCCATTAGAATAAAGCTTGGTAAGAATCCTGAAGTGGGAAGGGATGAAGAGTGACCACCTTGCAGTGGTCAGGGAAGGCCTTTTGGAGAAGAGGACCCTTGAACTGAGACCTGAAGGGAGGGAAGGAGCCCACTGGGTGAAGATCTTCTCCACAGCCAGGCCAGTGCTGGGAGCAGGGAGCCAGCACACAGCCAAGGGGGGGTGATGAGTACAAGCCATAGCAGAGGTATGGTACGGGAGGGGCCACACATTCAGCCACGGAATGGCTTCACACGGAAGGCTTCCCAAGGCAGGTGATGTGGGGCTGGCTGTAGGGGAGGAGAGGGCGTTGGACAGCTGGAGATGTGGAGGAGGGCATCACTGGCAGAGGAAACTGGATGTCCAAAAGTGGGAGGTGGGAAAGTGCGTGGGCTTGGAGAGCGGTGACGCGTTCCCATGGCCGGAGCAGGCCACGCAAGGTGTGGGTGGATGCAACAGAAGAGGCCAGAAAAGCATTTTGTTGTGCCATGGTGCAAACTCCACTGCATACCTGGGAGCCAGCTCAGTGCCGTGTACTGTGGGAGCCTGGCCTCAAGCCCCTGAGGTGCCCAAATCATTGCAGGATCTCAGATGAGTCACTCATCTTCTCTGGGCTTTAGCTTCCCTTCCTGGCTTGCAGAATGAATGCACTGAATACTGAACTAAGGGCAAGTGGACAGGCTGGGGAGCTGGAAGACCTCCATGGAGAGCCTTTTTCAGTGTGGACTTGACCATGGGATGGTGCAGAGTGTGGCACATGCAGATTTCTGCCTCTACTTCCACAGGATTGCTCTGCATTTCTGTTGGGCTCCTTGGGTGACACTTACGTGCAGCTCATTGCTATTCTGATGTTTGCTACTAGACACAGGGGCCAGGTCAAGGGCTCCATCTGAACATATGTGAGCCCCAGAGTCCTGGGACCAGGATGGTATTGAATGGCTTAGAGGGCTCTGAGGACTTGGGAGGCAGAATAGTGGGATGAGCCCAGGAGTGCAGGTCTGAGCTTTGTGGATCCTGGCAGGGGGATGGAGAAACTCAGACCTGGATCCCAATGGGGGATAGCCTGAGAATCTGGATTTCTTCCTCCCTCCCTGCCACTCTCAGGGAGCATACCCTCAATTTTTAGGAGCCAAATTCTGTGGCCCTCCCAGGCGGCCCCCACCCAGGATCAAGAGGTCTGAGCTTGCCTCCAGAGATGTGGAAGGTGGGATGGGAAGGTCTGCACCCACTCAAAGGATTTGATGAATCCTTTAACTTATTCAAAACTGGGCTCCAAAAACAGTTTCACAGATGGGAAAAATGCATATAATTTGTGTAATTGAAAAGGAGCTCTGACTGCCCTTTGCTGGGAGGTGGGGCAACACTTATTGGCTAGAGACGGCCTGGATTACGTTGTTTTTGTTTCCTGTGAAACAAAAATAGGGACTTTTGCGCCAGAGGGGTAAAAATTCACCCTGGTGCAGATACCGATTAAATTTAACTTTTGTCTTTTGCTGGGTGTCTTGATTCATGGTCGCTGTATAGGGAGGCCAGTACTGCATCGTGACATGAGTCACTTAGCCACTGGAAGCCTCAATTCCTGATCTAGATGTGAGCACCTTCATAGAGCCCTGGGTCTAGCCTGCAGATGAAGATGGTTCTGTCCTTCTCCTGCTTGGGCAGACTTTTGCAGGGCTCACACAGGGAGGGACCAGCCAGGGCAAGACCTGGAAGGGCTGAGGACTAGATGTTGGAGAAGGGAGCATGTTGGGACTGAAGAGCGGGCAGAGGCTTGGTCTCCAGAGCTGCATGGCTGTCTTTGAGAGACTTCACTGATGTTCCCAATATAGATGGGAGCCATGGCAGAAGTTAGACAGGAGCAAGTCTCACTCCCTGTAAGAAGCCCTCTTGCAGAGGTGTCAGGCATGGTGCAGGCTGCCCGACAGTGAATTCTTGAGTCCCCTGTTGCCCAAGGTCCCCCGGGGAACTGTCGGTGAGATTTACACAGAGAGTAGTTAAGACCAAGTTAGTGGTTCTCAAACTATAGAAAGAGTGGCTTACAGGGGTCAGGGTATGCCTGTGTTAGCAATGCAAATTCTGGAGCTCCACTCCCAGCAGGCCTAGGTTAAGGGGTTCATCAGCTCCCTAGAGGACAGTAGGCCCACTCTTCACCCCAGGCCAGCTCAGTGGCAGGGGCTTGGGGAACTGCCATGGTCTCGGTCCCTGGAGACCTGCCAGCCAGGTACTCTCTGGGCCCATCCATCTTCCAGGCACGTGATCTCCTTAGCAAGTGCTGCTGGTGCACAGAATATGTGGGAAAGAAGACTTGGAGGAGTCACAGAGGGTTACTGCTAGGGTGCATAGTCCAGTGTCACCAGGGCAAAGCCCACATGTAAGGTGTAGCAAGGGGTGCTCGTTCACCTGTTCACTTCCTTAGCCCACCTCCTGCTGTTCACATGACTGACCAAAGCCTCAGTTGTTCCCTCAGCCTCTGGGATCGCTCTACCTGGAGGGCTGTGCTCATCCTTGACCGCAAAGTTTGAATGCCCCTTCCTAGAGAAGTCCCCTCTTCCCCCCACCCCCACTCTGGCCTGGGGCTGCCAGAGCTGCGCCTTTCCTCATCCACTCCTGTCTGGCGGCTATACTGAGCAGTGCCCAACAGTGTTTGCTGCTCGAGAGTCAGATGTTTACCCCCAGGCCTTGGGCTTATCCCCTCAGACAGAGGACAGATCATCCATGACTGCCTGACCTAAGGGGATTCAGACTCCTCTAACTGCAGCCCCTTGTTAAAGGAACGTGAAGGGGAAGGGAGACTGAAGGGGAAGGGAGACGCAAAGCAATCTTCGGCTTGGCCTCAGCTGATATCTCCCCTCTCTAGAGCTACTGCATTTTAACCATCTACTTCCTTTGTAATTGTTTGCAGACTCTCAGCCTCCTGACCTCAGACACCTGAAGGTGGCTTGCATGTGACTCCATCTGGCACTGTGGAGACAATCCTGCAGACACCCACCAGCCTAGTCTGTTCTTTTGAGGCCTGGGCTGGGGGAAGAAAGAATGGGGAGTGGGACGGGGAAGATGGAAACAGGGTAGCTTCAACAAAAGATGGAGTCAGTGTCTGGCCAAGGTACCAGACATGATGGTGAGAGCAGGCCAGGACTCCTGCCTTCTCAGGAGTGGGAGGAGAGCTTCCTTGGCTTATAGGCAAGAATAGTCCAGCTGATGAAGTACAGCCATATTCTGGAAGGGTAACAGGCTACTTACAGGGGAAGGCAAACACATTTCCTTGAGAGCCGTATCTGCAGAGCCTGTCCTTTAAAAGGCAGCTGGGGCAGACTATTAAATTTTAGATGCGTTTCTCCTGGTACCCGGAGCCTGCCCTGAAGCCCATCCTGCCTTTGACCTGCTTTGGCAGCAGCCCCATGACCTTCCTGGGATGGAATGTTCCAGCTCCTGTAATGGTGCTGTCTCCTTGGGGACACCTGTGAGAGGGTGGAGGCAAGGGACATTCCAACCGGAGAAAGCAAGTTTGTAGACATGTTAGCAAAGGAGTCCTAGTACATTTAGGACTTGGTTTCTGAAAATTCCAAATCATCCTCAGTTTTGACATTTAAAAAAAAAAACGAATCCGTGAAAACCCCTAAATCAGGCCCTTTACTATCTGCCAAATTCCAGCATCTCCCTGAATTGCCACCGCTGCCATTTTGTTTCACAGGAACAGGAATTTTGTGATCTGCCTTGATGCTCTCATACGATTATTTTATTAAACAGTAGGTTGCCTGAGAAGTCAAATACTGCTTCTTATTTAGCTGTGGGTTATTGAATTAGAGCTAGAAGCATAGATGGCAGAGCTGGGAGGGTCATAGCAGCCATTGGGCCCCAGGCCCGCATTGCACAGACTGAGAAACAGAG